ACATGACTGATTCAATTGTAGGATTCTATCAAATTACTAAATAATCTGATTATTCATATTAAATAGGACTAACTGTAGCCAATTTAATTAATAGGGGGATTGAATAAATCAAAATAAGAGATCTTCTAGGCTTATAACTGTTGGTATTTCAGTCCTTTTCAAATAGAATTAATTAGGGCTTTATTTAACTTTTACTTTCCCATATAAACTGAGTATAGAAGTGAAGTCAAAGCAAGGTCAAAGTCAAAGATAATTAAAATCAAAAGAATCAAAGATAGAGTAAAATAAGGAAATAAACAAGCCACTGATTTCAATATATATCTGGTCAACTGGTTCAGGATGATTCGGGATAATCCTTAGGAAATCATTGAACAAATCAGGCTATTTAAGCCAAAATCCTTTGTTTATTGATTTCCTAATTAGGAAATCAAAACATTCAGAATGCAGGGGTGAGAATCCAGGGTGAGAATGCAGGGGTAAATTAGCCAGGAATGGATTGGGCTGGAACAATGGTTCAAATGGCTCAATCCAGGAATTAGGGCTAGGGTTTGGTAGTCAGGTGAGCTGCCAGTCTGACAGATATATTTATAGATTTTATTATATACTTACTAGAGAGCTAGGGCTTTAATATAGTTTTAATAATAATTAATTATTTAACTAAGATAAAATATCTAGTTCTCTGTAATACTACTACTAATATACCTATAGTAGCTACTATATATATATAGTATATATAGAAACTATATAATCTACCCTAATTAGTCCTCTTAGATAGAGATTCCTAATTTATTACTAAATTCTAGAAATACTTAATCTAATAACTAAATATTATTTATAAGCTTTCTATAATATACTATTCTAAGATAGACAAATAGACTAAATAAGTTAATATAATACTTAAGTAATATCTATATACTTATATAAACTATCTATAAGATAATTAGAGCTAGTAGCTTCCCCTAGCTAAATTTATACTAAATATAATATACTCCAATTTAATCAAGACCACTTTATTCTTTATAAACTATAGCTTTTATCTATATATAGGCTTTAAGCTAATATCTATACTAAATAATCTAGCAGCTAGAGACACTAATTAGTTTATAGCTAAGATATAAGTAATTATAGAATTTACTTAGACTAAGATAACTATAGTCTAAGTCTATTATATTAAATAAGCTAATAAAAAAAGATACCCTGTAAGATACTTTAAGAAAGAATAAGAAGTATAGCTAGATATTTACTATATTAGAACTCTATAGCCTAGTAAGAAGCTGAACTAGAATACTCTAGATCTATATAGAATTAAGAGAGTTATAGGCTTCTATATCTATTAACTAGTTCTATTATCTAGTATAAAAATATACTCTATATTTAATACTAGTCTACTTATCTCTACTAGTAATAATCCTATATCTAGATAATACACTCCCCTACTGCTTTATATATAAGTTAATAGACTTAAGGAATAGAAGATAGAAGATATTCTTAATTTTATATAAGACTACTAGGGCCGCGGATACCCCCAGCTAATCTATATAGTTAAATAGATAAAGTATCCTAATCCTACTATAGAGTCTGTATTATACCTTAAGAATATCTACTAGATTATTAAGAATTTCTACTATTATTATTCTAATAAGCCTAGACTAGTACCTTAACAGAGCTCAGCTTAGAAAGAAGAGTATACTATTATAGTATAATCCTAGAAGACCTACCTGCCCTATTTAATCTAACTAATCTATTTTATCTACTTAACTCTTTCTACCTCTTAACTGCTCTGTATATAATCTATAACCCCCCTTAATCTTATTTCTGCTTCTAATTCTACTTATAGCTCTTTGAGCTATGTCTTGTCTATAAATCTGAGGATAGCTTGACTGAGTAGCTAGAAGATAGAATCCAGAAGACTTATACTAAGAGATCTCCAGCCAGAACTGCTAGTCCTACCACCTCGCCTGTGATTAAGCCAGCCAGCCAGCCCGCACCTTGACACTATATATAAATAAACTCTAGTTCCTCTTTATAAGATTTTATTTAAAGAATTTTTAATTAAATCTTTTATCTATACTTTATAGAATCTTCTAATTAGATTTCTAGAAATTTATAGAGATCTAATAAGTCTTTTTTATAGTATAGCTTAGCTATCTTACTTCTCTATAGATTATTTAGAATATAGTCTAGATAGATTACTATAATATATATCTTCTAGTCCTTATTCTAGTTATTAGTCTCCGCGGTTAATTCCTAATATATAATGAATATAGTAGATAATATAATTATAGATACTATACTAGTCCTTATCTATAGATAGATTAATATATATATTAGTTCTCTTTATATCTATAGTACTAGAATTAGAATTATCTAAGATTCTGTGTAGATACTTCTTTATACTACTAATTCCTAGTTATTCTTATAATTCTACAATCTCTTTAAGTAAATCTAAATATTTATAAAGTTTCTAGATTAGAATTTATACTTCTCTTTTAATTATAGGGGATTTATTCTTTATAATTAATATATAATGTTCTATAAGTAGCTTAGAGGAATTACTTCTAGTTTAGCTTTGTATTCTATATCTAATTATTACTTATTAGACTATTTTATAGGGTATTAAGTAATAAGATTATAAGAGCTAGAATAATAAAATAGTATAATAAATAAATAGCCTTGTAAGGCTAAAATTACTAGTTAATTACTTTAAGATATTATTATTAATCTATCTAATCCACAAGTTACCCACCCCCTAAATAGGAGGTCACAACTTACTTGCTTAACTATCATGTGACTAGTACCTGAGGCCTGCTAGATAGATTTCTCTTCGCGACTACTCGCGAAGGTTGGAAGGGTTGGTTTAGCCCTTGCAGTTATTTAGAAATTCTTCTAGTTCTATTCTTTCTTATTTTATAGTATTTACTCTATTAAGAGCTTTTTGTTATATATTAAAGTCTCTAAAGACTTTATTTATTACTAATATTAGATCTTTAAGTTATATTATCTCAGTATTCTAGAATTTAATCTAAGAAGATATTTATTATACTGCTTGTCTATATAGTTAATTATAGATATAGAAGACTTATTCTAGTCTTATAGAATAATAGTTTCTATTAATTATAAGTTTTATATATATATTTAATTTAAATAGTTTATAATTATATTTATCTTCTCTATTAAACAGTTTTATATTAGGATATTAAGAATAAGATCTAAAATATAGTTTATATAGTTATAATAAGAAGTTCTCTTTTTATTTACTATTAGTAGTAGAGATTATACTATAACTCTATAATTTATTTATTTCTTCTTTAAAGACTATTTTCTATTTTACTATTTCTATATAGAGATTAATTAGCTTCTGTAGAAGGAGTTGCGTATTATTAAGTATAGATATAGATACTATAATTAGCTATAGTTCTTCTAAATCTATTTATTCTATTATTCTAGTAGTTCTTTTCTATATTCTTATTCTATTTATATGCCTAGTTGGACTCCATCTAGGACTTTTTTAGGAGCTATTTCTAATATTATAGAATAAATAGATTATACTGATCAAAACATGCCTTTAAATAAGAAGAAATAGCTGAAGAGCTATTTCATCTGTTCATGCGAAATTCTTTTAGGTATGTGCGAACTAAGCTAGCGCTAGTTTAGTGTATAGTATGCGAGGCCTCAGGCACCAACTGGTGCCTGAAGCTGAGCTCTATATCAGGGCCTTGGTCCCATAACAATATACTTGATTTCTGAATTATTATAATTATCAAGATTTATTATCTAATAGTACTTTACTATTTTTAATTCTATTATTAATTATAGAGTATCTCTATAAGAAATAGTCTAAAAGAATAAGATAGAATATAAAATAAATAATCATTATCTTTAAGAGGAATAGAAGAATATAGACTTACTTATATTACCAGTCTATTATTATGGCAGTCAGGAGACTAAGATGGGTGCCAGTCACTTTTTAGATGGGTGCGCGGACAGGAAAGATAGCCATTATTCAGGGTGCTTGGCCGTCAGCACCCTGAATAACCCCGGATAAGGCGGCACTTGACCACCGCAGCCGCTGGGTGAGCACCGACTTACTTGTGCTGTGGTATGTTTTTGTCTCTAGCTCATTCTGCTAGAGGTCGTCCGTGGATGAATAGATAGGGCCGATCAATTATTAGGGACCTGCTCAGAGGGGGCTGCATTAGTAAGAATTATGTACTAAGACTTTCTGCGACCCCCTTGGATATTTAAATGTTACATTCTAAACTCCTCCCATGATCTTCCTATCTCTTCGGATTCTTCTCATTATACAATAAGTATACAAGTATCAAGATTCATCTCTGCCCCTCTGTTTATCGTACGAACATAGATTTAGTGGGTGAATATCCTTATGTTAGAATTCTACATTAGAAAATATCTACATTTATTCTGATCTTCTTGAAGATCATATATTTTCACTTTTCTAACCTCATTATACTCAATCCTAACCCGCTCAGAGCCGCTAGTCCTGCTTCCGCCGAATAATACCCCATCGATAATATGCCTTTAATAACCAGATGAATCTTACTTACCATGTAGATAATTCGAATCTGTCTGCCAACGGACGAGGAGTAGAATATAAAACTACCACCGACGATCAGACGTAGAAACTGGGTACCAGTATTGCAAGGCATCATTAATCATGCAGATTGGTCCATACTCTCTCTTTTGCCGAATATCAGTGATGAGGCTAGACAGGGCAAGGTCTAGGTTACAGCACAGAGGAGCATAGAACTTCATGGAACCCCAGCCCAGCAAAAGCCGGTCGCACTAGGCGCGTGCGCAGTCGTGTTGAGAAATTTAGAGGCATCCACCTGACTAGAGACTGCAGAGAAGCCACACGCCGGGAGACTAGTGGATTTGTGGCTGACCACCGGCGAATCCCATCTGTTCGGTATGCATACTGTTCTGTCATCACTAGGTCTCAAGCATTTGGTGCTTGTCCTTGGTTCATACTGAGACCTACAGCTGTTTCTCTGTTATGGTCGCAAACTTCTTGTCAAATCAACGCAGTCTTATTCAGCAGAACACAACTGGGATACAAAATTCTTCTCAATTTGATCGAGACCCTTAGGCACCTACAATCGCTGAGTACTCCCTGCTGAATGGATAATCCACGTATTCCAACGCCAAGCTGATCTGATAAACGTCTCACGCTGGTACTTAGACAACTCGACCCCTTTCTTAAGCCGATACACCAGATCCGAATTTTATATGAAATGCCGTCCGAACAGCACCACGATATCCCTGTTTGGGTATTGCTTATCTATCAGCTTCTGTGTCTTGTCTAGTCCATAGCCTCCCGCAATCAGAATTGGCTCATCACAGTGCTTGATTGTAAAGTTCAACGTCTCGTGACTCTCATCCATATTGCTGTTATAGACCCACGCGCTGTATATCCGCGTCTCAACAAGTGAAAGATACGCCAGTTCCGACCCGCCAGCCCGGTTAATAATGTCTGTAAACTAAGGGATCGGATTAGCTATGCGCATGCCCTGGAATCAGGACCACGGACTTAACTGGAGTCCATGTAGTCTATACTAATTATCTCCACAGTCGCCTGCAGTACCTTATACAGTAACCGAGACTGATTCCTAATACTGCCCCCGTACTCGTTATCGCGCTGGTTACTTATATTCTGTAGAAATCAATCAAGAAGATATCCATTAGTACTATAGACTTCAACACTATCAAAGCCAGCTGTATGAGTGTTCTGTACTACTTTTGTGAAGTCAACAACTATCTATCGGATCTCAGTCCAGATTATGGCCCGTGGCGTCGGTGCGGCGGGGTTCTTGTCTACCAGGATCAGGATTGTGCTTAGTGTGATAATATTAATTACTTTACTTACAGCTACTTCCAGGTCAGCCGCGCGGCCCATTCCAAATAGCTGTATGTAGATAAAGCTGCCCTGTATATATACCATGTTGGTAATCTCTTTCTATACTGCAATCTGGTCCGCGCGCCAGATTTCAGAGATGTTGGAGAATCCACTATATATAGTAGTAAAGACTAAGATTCTCTCTATAATAATAAGAATACCGGGCTCGGAGATGTATTGGGTATAGTATTCTTTCATAAGGAGTATGGGGATGCGGTCTGGAGTAGTGCGGCGGCGTGTTAATAGAGCCATTCTGATGTGATACTGGACTTGGATGGCGCCGATTTGGAGAGGCTTGAAGAGATGTGATTCTGTCATTGCGGTGAATTATTTGATTTGATTGAGTATAGAGAATGTGAACGAACAAGCTTCTGTGCTTTTCCCCTGGCTACTTGTAGGGTTTGCAACCCCGGCACGTTTATATATGTTTTCCCTTCCTGCCTTCGGAGCTTGTGAGAACAATCGCCATCGTAGCTTACAAATAAACAGACCCTAATAGAGTAGTCAGTTCTTTCCTACCTCAGAATGATGTTATATCACTCCGAGATGTGGGGTCTCTTGCAGCGGGACGCACGAGGAGGAAACATTTTCTACTGTCGCCAGTCTCGACTACATGCGGTCAGTTGCAGCGTTGCAGGGATATCCGGGCTCTACCATGTGTACCTTGCCGAGCTTGTATTCTGTTCCATTAGATAGCCGATGGGATCTGAGGAGGACCCCGATATTTCAGATAGGTCCATTGATTGTGCTTGTGGAAGGAGATCGCGACGAGTTGCCTTTCTAACAATAGTAGTTCGTGGTACGTCTGATAAATGGGTTGATGTAGTCATTGAAGGTGTAAGCTCTGTTAGATATGCCCTGCTGGTTGAGCGTCGCGCGTAATGGCTACTTCGCTGGTACAGGAATCATCAGAGTCATGATATTGAAAATCGTATTTGCAAGAATGTTTTAGAGCATGAATTTGCAGTACTGCATCTAATTTTAAAGTAGTTCAGTACTTACTTGCGGAGCCGGAGATTATGACTAGAAACAACATAAGGTATATTTTCTTAAATAATTATTAACAATATTTAATACTATTACTAGCAATACTTTTAATTATGAGCTTAAGATTTCCCTATTTCTCTGCTGCTGGTTGAACAGTAAACTATATAGTATACGTTTTTTTACTGATAATTCAGATCAAATCCAGGTTCTTATATAATATTGTATATTACTACTAATCCGTATCACCATATATGTCTTTCTGGGCCCTTTGATCCCAACTCAAAATCTTTAGACTGGGAATCTGAGAAGATAGTCTATTCCCTCACAGAAAGAGTCTTTTAAGCAATGTTTACACTTTACAATGGCCCTAATATAGATATACCCGGGTTGCCATCCACTCTATAAACACTGCTCGCACTTCCTCTTGAGATCCTTAACCTAATCACAAAACAAGTACTTTTCCACTCAGCCACTGAATTGAAATCAAGCTTTATTTATACTGCCAGATATCTAGTTAATCACTTGCGATCTTTAGAGCTACAACTACTGCTAGTACCTACATATTTGTGCCATATACTGGCTTTTTCGCAAAGTCACTATTTAATTTAATAGATCGGCTCTAATTATACTAGATAGATGATTTCTTTGACCTCTAAGAAGTGATCTAGTATAAATATTGAGCTGTTAGTCAGACCATATACAGACTCTGGATATCTGGGGTGACGAAGCAGTCCTCTTGGATATATTTTCAGGTTCCTTAGGGGATTTGGATCGTCTTTAGACTATAAGACAAGTTGTCAATCCTTATAAACTATCTAGGACAGTCTACCGAATACTTTTACTAGTACAATTGTAGCATTAGCTACCCGCCAGTACTAACTAGTCTCCAAAAACTGCTTTGGCAACTGTTGTTCCAGCCTATAGACATATTATTTATATCTCTAAGAATTCGATAGTCTTAGATGACCTTTATACATCTTTAATCCCTATATCTTTCTTACATTAAACACAAGTCCGGGCTGTTCGTGATTCCGTCGCTTCCAGCTCTGGAAAGGCTGTACTTAGATTTCTGCTACTATTGTCTTGATTACCTATAAGCTGGCTCGGGACCGTACACAGAGTTACAGTTCAATTAACTCCTATCTCTGACTTCCCTGTCTATTTCAGGCGCTCGACAGAAAAGTATTATGTATAGTGAAGTATATTCAATCTTTAGTAAGTAGAGATAATCTTCTCTACTAAGATCAACTCACAGTTACTTTATCCAGTTCTCGGCTGCTACCTTGAAGAGTTGGTCATAATAAATTATAATTTTATAGCTTAGAGATAGAGATATTAACTATGATAGCTAAATCTTTAAAGTTTATATATTTATAATCTAAAAGCACTGTGATTGCTCCTCCTTGAAAGCATAAAGCTTCCAGCTGGTATTCATATCCATGTATGAATATACTCCACGGATCTGCAGCATTTGTCAACATGGCCAATAGTATTACAAGCACTGAGTGCTGTTTGTATCACAGTCAGCTTCAGTAGTCACTAGGATCTACCACATGCCCTTCTATTATACTTATAGCAATTGACGTCTTTAAGAACAGTACAGATAGACAAGACTGACTGTACATAAGTCGCCGTCTGCTTGAGTAATTTGAACACGGCTGGTGATTATACTGAAGATGTACAGTCCTTAGAGTTAGATAATACTAATTAGCTGTAGTAGATAGTAGAAACAAGATACCTTTACAGCTTACTCTTTTGAATCCTCCTAACCTATATTTAGGCAAATTGAGCATAATAAAGCAGAGAGTATTTATAAAAAGCTTATTACAGAGTAATCTTGGCGAAGATGGATAGTTGGTCGACTCCCTAGTTTACTGTATAGCTATTATTATATATCTAAATCGAATACTCTTTACTAAGTATATCTATTCCGAATTCGCTGACAAGATTGACTTATGCCATCCAGCTTTGTATAATAAATTTCCAGCGCGAAATTCTGTTGTACTATTGAATAAGATTAATAATAGTATCTAGACAAGCAAGGCTTTCGCTGGCACATAATACAATACTACAATGGACAGTTAGATCAGAACAATCGACATAGTAACTTTAGAGAATTTAATTCACTATAAGCATAAAGCTATAGTCTTCACAGTTGAACATATCCGCCTCATGAGGCTGCTTCGCCCAGTCTATAGATTTTTATTAGTTCAGGCAATCAAAGGCCGAATAGCTGTTCAACTGATGCAAAACACGCGGGCGAACATACTTCCAGCCTTTCTTGACAATCAGTACGCGAGGTTCAGCTTCAGGGTAATGTACAAAATATCAAATGCACCCAGCGATGGCTTTCAGGCTCTATTTATGGTTCGGGACTTCCTGATTCCTTCTTCCCTTACACCTCAGGCTTTCACATCACCCTTGAATCTTAGCATCGATATGCCTTATCTTTGTCTCGGACATGTATCAAGCCTCTTGTTCAAGCTCTTTTGCTTGGTACATAGGCAAACATTACCTGCAGTCAGTCCACTACCTGCAGTCAGCCAACGGGTACATTCCTCTCAAAGATGGCCTGAGGCAGCTTCACGACTAACCCCGGATCCTTCACAAATCCATTTCATGCTCACATAATCTACTCGATCTATCTTGAGCCGTGGAGCACAGCTGTGAATCTTGCGGGTCAATTTCAGAATCGATCCCACGGCGAGCTGCTCGGACGAGTCGAGCGAGATGTCCAGGGGTGGTGGCTTCGGATGGCCGGCTTCATCCGGTTGCTCCCCACTACGGTGGGCTACTAGTGCCAATTTGCAATAACCCTCCTTCTGCCGGCAATAAAATGATCACCTGGAACTGGCAGGGGTCAAACCGTCAACCATCCAGATTAGGCTTAGCTTGTCCAAGGCCAATCAAGTTAGATTACTCCAATTCCAAGAAAAGGGGAGGCCCCCCTCGGCTCTCCTCCGACTGAAGTCCAGTATGATCCAGGCAGCGGCAGCAGCGATGAAATTTTGTTAGCCGTTATAATCATCACCTATTCCTCTACCCCTCTGCCATTGGCTTTCTCGCATCCGGATTCAATTTTTGAAAGACGCTCGACGTCCAATCATGTTTCTTTTTCCCTCCCGAAGCAGGGGCGGGGCCACAATCCTCTCACGGTGTGTCACAGGAGCTGCTGTGAGCGTCGCTCTGCCCTTCCCGAGGGGCCCATCACAATCACTCCATACAGCTCCGCAAACAACGGACTGCAAGCCAGGCGCGACGCAGAACAACAAAAGTGTTTTCGATCTCGCTCTGTCGCTTTCACAGCGACCTCTAAACGGCAATGCGGTCATGCAGTACACCCAGTTTCAGAATCATGGCACAGCATTCCCGGTCGGTCATATAACTAAACTCGCCGTCGCGGATCGGTACGGCTTGAGCACTCGAGACCTGCGTGTTTTCGACCAGCCATCGAGCGGAGTGCCGTATATCCTCGTTCGAGAATCGACTCTGCTTCTTCACATATTAGACCTGCGCGTGCTTGTGCAGCACGACCATGCGCGACTCTTCCATGTCGCCCACGTGCCGCCAAGTCTCGACCACACCCAGGGCAGCGACGAGAATCGCGTGTCGCGCGTGTTTAGCCACATTATGCAGGAAAAGCTACGAGACGGTCAACAGCCAGGCAAGGCAGAACGGCAGCCTTTCGAGCTTTGCGTGTTGGAGGCAGCTCTGTCGGCCGTCACCTCGGTCTTAGAAGCAGAGTGTTCGCTGGCCGAGCAAGAAGTCTCCCAGACTCTCCAGATTACTGATGCGAGCACACCGAATGGAGATGAACCTGTCACGCATTTGCGTCTCCGCACGATCCTGGAACTGAAGCGGAAGCTCGTCGGGATTGAACAACGGGCACTCCAGGTGCGCAACATGGCGCAGGAGGTACTCAATGAAGATCAAGACATGGCCAACATGCATTTGACCGATAAGCAGGCGGGGAAGCCGCACATGGTGCAGGATCACCAGGGTGTCGAATATCTTTTCGAGGCATACTTCAAGGCTAGTGACACCATCGGACAGGATGCGGCGAGCTTGATGAGCCATCTCCAACGCACCGAAGACACAATCCGGTACACGTTGAATGTGCGACGGAATCAGATCATGATGTTGGAAGTTCGACTCGAGATACTGATGTTGGCGTTAGCGGGGGCCACTCTCATCGCGGGCTGGTATGGCATGAACTTGGTAAACTACTTCGAGGACAGCCCACATGCGTTTGCAGTCGTGGTTCTCTTATCTTGTGCAGCCGTGCTCGGATCATCCTGGTACGGAATGCATAGGTTGCGGCGGATCCGCACGGCACAATTGCATGTCTGAGCGGCCCCTCACGCTATCAGTGCAGAGGGTCTAGAACACCCGATCGCTCGACGAAAGTTGCGAGTAAAATTTCATTTTCCTGCAGGTGGCTGTCCGACGAGGCCTTTTATGAATAGACCAAGTCAGCCTCTGCAAAAAGCTGGCAACGCAGGAGCATTTTTATGCCCACGTGCTCGGGGGAGAGGGGTATACGCTTATCCAACCAAATCCATCCAAGGCGTCGAGTAAACCAAGAGAGCGTCGAGTAAACCAAGAGATACGAAGGATGTTTCGGCAATGATACCCTGCAACGAGGGAGGTGTAGACCGCGTATTCGACGCCTGTGTTGCATCAGGTACTGCTGCAAGGGCGAATGCACATGGGAGCGACAGCCAAGATACTTCCCATGGATGTGACCATTCGCGAATCGGCACGAGAATGTTAAACGATTGTCAAAACCATGCCCCCGATTGCTGGGGTTGCAAATGGGGCCATGGTTCTTAGGGACAGCCTTTTCGACAAGATGCCTTATGAAGACTTCATGTCTGTTAAGGAAACAAACTTTTTGTAATCTTGTAACTTTGTTTGGTCTGGGTCTGTTCTTTCAGTCTTAGAATTTAGAGTAGATAGCTTAACGACTACAACAACAAAGACAAATCGTTAAGGTTTGGTTAGATCTCATGGAATATATATATTTATACATATATTCTGAAGCAATGTTGTTTCAAGACCTAGTTTTCTCTCTCGTCACAGAAGAAAGCACATGAAGCAATCACAATAAAGGGCAAGATGAGACTTATTGCTCTAACCCAGCGGACAATGAGTGTGCAGACGCAGACGGCAGCCCTAATCCGCGGGCTCTTGGTTCCGCCACTTTCCCGCCTTGGATACCATAGTAGTATTTAATATATGAGCCGGGCTGGCATTTGAACCAGTATGAAACCCCAATTCATGGTCTTAATGGGCAGAACTCGTCTCCATAGACGAATTATGTGACATCTCTGGAATGTTACGACGAAGCATAAGCGATCGCCAAGACTCCCTTGTCCCTTGCAGCTGGCGGAAGATGATTTCCGTCGTTGCGTTTGTTCAACTGGAGCTTGAAGATTGAGCCATCAAGATTCACCGTGAAGCCCTGTTGAGAGAGGAAGTACCCTTTCTTATAATCACGTCAGTCTGCAAGCCGTTGCGTATGTTCCTAAAGCACTCATGAGACATTTGTCCGCAGTAATGACTTGGGTAATCTTCAGATAACCCTGGGCCCCTAGCTGCTAAATCCCCCATGGCATTATATCTGCATCAGGTACTCTCACACTATCACCGCAAGAGCGTATTTGTCACCGACATGTACTAACTAGTTATAGCAATATAGCATGGATGTGATGATATGCAAAGGAGGATAAATGCACGGCATTGTCCAGAAATATATCTGCATCTAGCCCAGCTGAGCAAGACCTTCACGATCATCATGGCAAGACTGGCTTGGATCTCACCCTCCACCCCAGGTTGATAACAACGCAAGAACACTGTACCATAATACGAACTCTACCCAGCAGGAAGAAGACAACTTGCACTACGTCCAAGACTCCGCCTACCATACACCAACATCGACGCTGGCTGGTGGCCCTAACTCAGTCTCCCCAAGCTCGCGTCCGGTCGGGTCGACCACTGCTCCCCAGCGCACAAGGACCTGTCTTTAGGTCTGGACGGTAATGTCCCTACCGCGCTGGCAGATTTGCGGGACGTGGGTCGATACGTTGCTCGTATACTTATTTGCGAATCCCCGGACGTTGAACAAAAAGTGCATGTGTATAACGAGGTCTACACGCAGAATAAAATAATTTACTACTACTTAGTAAGTATGAGTTTGTGAAGCGGTTGCGTGGGGAGAAATATTTATGTACTATCACTACTTGTCTATCTTTAGTTGATTTACTTAAGTTGTAACAAAAAGATTTTCAGCGATGAGATTATTCCAACATGGAAAACTCAAGAGAAACTAATCGCTCTTATCTTAATGATATGCTTAAATTTATAGATTTATAATATGATCTTGGATTTAAATGAGCATTAGTTATATCATATAGTTGAGAAAACCTATTCTAGTCACGTGGATTGTCGTAGTAAGTAAGCGGGAGCTGATTAGGGATAAGCAATCTAGGAATAACTAGACTTTCCAGGTATGTGCTCTGTGAGCAATTTGTCAGTGTTCCCAGAGCACACACACATCGTTCACGTGCTCCCCTCATCCATAAAGCGGCGGTACTGCAATTGGATACGCAAAGGGGAGTAGTTTGTAGCAAAATAGTTCACTTAGGTAGCCCTGGTATACACTACAGTAAGCTGAGTTGTATACTGCAGTGCTGGATAAAGCCGGATAACCAATCAGCGGCCAGCCCGCCGTCATGCGACTCCGCGGCCCAAAAAATCCCAGCGGAAGCTGAGAACACAAGCTCTCTCAGCTCTAATCCACCCGCTGCACTCTACCACCACATCCTCTCCTAATCATCTACCATCTGTTATTTAAGCTCCAGACTTGCTTACTGTCAAGCACCATGGTCGCACCATCGGCCACCCTTTCCACCCTCAATCGCGCTGATGGGTCGGCCTCCTACCAGTGTCCTTCAACCGGTTCCAACATCCTGGGATCAGTCAACGCCCCCGTCGAGCTCCCTGGTCGCCGTGACGCCCTCAGACCCGAAGATGCCACCATCGAAGTTTTCGTGAAGCCGGGCACTGCCCCCGCGGGGGTGGGCGAACGCTACGTCGAGGGCATTCTGAAAACCCTGCTGGGACGAGTCATTCTGGGCCGCGAGAAGGGCTATCCTCGTCGCGGAGTGGTCATCACGCTGGCTATCATTGGTGGTGAGAATGTCAGCAGAGGGGATCCGGTACGTACTTTCTCACCTCTATCGATAGTAACGAGCTCCATTGGTTTGGTGGGCAGCGAGCTAACGCGGTGTGCTCGGCTCTGCCGTCCAGTATCTGATCCTGCTCCCCGCGCTTCTCCATACCGCACTGCTGGCGCTCTTATCCGCCTCCGTGCCTTTGTCCATGACTTTCTCTGCTACCGTGCTGGCCGTCGACGCGGCGGGGCAGATCCTCCGGGAGCCTTCCGCGGAGGATGCAGCCACCGCGCAGTCCCTCCACGTCCTCGCATTCTCCTCCAAGGGCCACCTGCTACTGAACGAGAGCCAAGGAGCGTTTGACTTGGACACGTGGGAGAAGGTGCGCCAGCGCGCCTCGGCCATCTGCCATGGAACGCAGCTGGTCAGCGCCGACGGCGATGTCGCGATGGCGGAGGATGTCGATGGCCGGCCTCTGGAGGGATCCCTGCGGGAGATGGTCGAGGATCAGGTGTATCGTGACTACAACTGGCAGATCAATGCTGCTTGATTGCTGGATCTAAATAACTACACCGGAAAAATCCCGATCGCGCAGAATGAGTGCCTACAGCCGACATGTTCGGTGAACGAAGAGCATGCGACTCAATGAGGTCAGAATCAATTTTCCCGAACACACATCGAATTACCGGCTCCTCTCCTCGGAGCCGTTTGTCGCAACTTCGCAGGCTCGGCTTTTCTCGACGGGACTATTTTCGGCGGCTTTAGTGGTGCACGGGGCGTCTTGGCGGCCGTCAAAGGCCCGCAGTTTCGATGGCCTTCCATTATGTGGATACGAGGCAGAACCTCTGTGTCGATTATTCGGAGCTCGATTTCCTAGCGTTCCAAGGCAGGGACATGCACTAGACGGCTGCCGGCTGCATTTCTGGATTTGTCCGTCGTGGGACATGGTGCTGTGACACCACATCCATTCAGGCAAAAGCCACAGTGGGGGAGGGATGCTGCAATGTGCTGAGTTCGTTTTCTTAGCATCTGAATGATGCGTTGGAGCGTGGGGTCAGACTTAGATAATTCGCGCTGTAATCATCTCGCACTGTCGCAATTTTTTTTTTTTTTTTTTTTTTTTTTTTTTTTTTTTTATTTTATTCTGACAGAATTCTGATGGGGGATTCTGAAGTTATCCGTAGACACTAGGGAGAGACTTGTTGCACATGGCGGGATCTCCGCTTATCTCCATGCGACCGTAGAGGACGTTTCTTGCGGAGTTACAAGGTCGGCCCACTGACAGGGAGTTCATTCCCCATCATTCGACAGGTAGAACTGTAAGAGTTGGGTTGTGGAAGCTGATCGAAGGCAAGACTAATAATCAATTCCATGAATCGTTCGTTCTTGTTGGTGTCACTGGACAGGTTCTACTGGCAATACTTTACCCCGTGCAAACCCCGTTACTTCCGGACTCGGCCTGGTTTTTCCATCCCGTCCCCCCATAATCACTTACTGCCGCACTGCGTACTCCGTGTGATTGATTGTTCCAAGACACAATCCATTTTCCTTCTCCACCTTCTCCTCCTCCTCCCCTACTGCGTCTTACTTATTCTCTAGCCTGTCCCCTTCATCCCCTCCCCTCAATTCGTCTTCTATCACTTTGCTCACTCCTGTCCATGGCGTCCTCCCCGCCAGATCATGCCCCCATGAATCTTCCCCAATCATCCCCCGGATCTTCATGCGCCACGAACCCTCCTTCAGATCCGGCCTGTTTGCCTGCCTCGCCCTCCGCCGCCCCACCACTATCAGATCCTCCGACACGCCCGCCTGTCCAGCGCTCTGCCACGGTGGGAGCACTGCTTCTGCGCGATTATGCCTTGAACATCGACCCCTCCGAGACCACCAGCGACATCCATACTGACCATTCGACTTCCGTGCCGCCCGAGTGCCGTCGCGAGACTCGCCAGCCCTCGGAGATTGCGCGGGAGGACTCCGCCGTGCCGTCGCTTCCGTCGCCCTCCTTCCTCCACCTGCGACGACAGAGCGCTGTCTTTTCCGGCCACCAACGAAACGCATTGTCCAGCGATTCGATCCCCCGTCAAACAATCCTCAAAGCCCTCGCGTCTCGACCGTCTATCTCCGGGCAACAGAACCCCAACATGCCGCTGGCGGCATCGCTGGGGCTCCTGCCCGCCAACTCGACCAACCCCAACACCTCCGACGAGCCCACGCGCCGGGCCTCGATCAATTCGTCCCAAAAGCTGTCAGCTGCTTTGTCCAACATGCAACTCGGAGCTTATCTCGATCGGGCCACTCCATCGGCGCGTTTAGCCCTGCAGTCGCCCTGCTTCTTTCACCAACGGTTCGACGACGCCGTCAACATACAAAAAGTGCTGGAGGAGATTACCGATGACGAGTGGCTATCACATTCGCGGCTGGTGCAGACCGCGACGGGGGTGCGGGAGGTATCCAAGCAATTGCAGCGGCGACCCATCAAACGCGCCGTCAAGACGGTCATGATTGTCACCAAGGCGCGCGACAACAGCCTAGTGCACCTCACGCGCGAACTGGCAGAGTGGCTCCTCTCGACGCCACGGTACGGGAATGAGATTGGGGTCAATGTATACGTGGATGCCAAGCTACGCCACTCAAAACGGTTCGACGCGCAAGGTCTCCTGGAGAAGGACCCGCGGTACCAGGATATGCTCCGCTACTGGACGCCCGATCTGTGCTGGTCGTGTCCCGAGCGGTTCGACCTTGTGTTGACGCTGGGGGGCGACGGCACGGTGTTGTTCACCTCCTGGCTCTTCCAGCGGATCGTGCCGCCTGTGCTTTGTTTCTCCCTGGGCAGCCTGGGATTTTTGACGACTTTCGAGTTCGAGAGTTACAAAGACCACCTGAACGCCGTCATGGGCGATGTCGGCATGCGAGTCAACCTCCGCATGCGGTTCACGTGCACCGTCTTCCGCAAGGACCGCAGCAAAGGCGCTGAGGCCGGGGCCGTCGAGGAAGGGGAGCAATTTGAGGTTCTCAACGAGCTGGTGATTGACCGTGGTCCTTCGCCTTATGTCTCCAATCTCGAGCTGTATGCAGACAATGATTTGCTTACGGTGGTTCAAGCCGACGGCTGCATCTTCTCCACGCCTACAGGTTAGTTCCGGGGTACACATCATTCTCTTGTGGCTGTAACTGACACCTCGGAATCTAGGTTCAACGGCATACTCCCTTTCGGCTGGAGGCTCGCTGATCCACCCCTCGATCCCGGGCATCCTCCTCACTCCGATCTGTCCCCACACCCTCTCTTTCCGACCCATGGTTCTTTCTGACACCTCTTTGCTGCGCATCGCCGTGCCGCCGGGCTCGCGCTCAACCGCGCACTGCTCGTTCGACGGCAAAGGCCGCGTGGAACTCCGTCAAGGAGACTATGTGACTGTCGAAGCCAGCCAGTACCCGTTTCCGACTGTGGTATCAGGTAGCGGAGAGTGGTTTCACAGCGTGCAGCGGGCGCTGCGGTGGAACACGCGCGGGGCGGTGCAGAAAAGCTGGTCAGCGGTGGACGGGGCGGAGGAAGAGGACGAGGAGGACGAGGATTGGGACATTGACACAGATGCGGGGTTGGCGGGGACGGACAGTGGGCTGGGACCCAGTGAGGACGGGGATGCGGGCTCGGTCAGCCCGATGAAGCGACAGATGAGCATGTTGAGCATGTAGCCGTTGTCTGGTGACTGGATTCTTGTTAGGCGTTGGTCGGATACACCCGGGTACACAGACCATTTCGGGCGATTGGTTCTTGGGACAGCGAGTTCGGGTCACTTGATATAGCATGATATAGACTTTGGATAATCTCGGGACTGTCTGATCTTGAGCGGACGTGATGATGATAGGAAGACTTGGTATATTATGATGACACCCCGCAAGCATACAGATCATACTGCGCATATATACTACTAGTATATCCCATCTATGCCATATACAGCCTCATCCATCCCTCCCCTTTTATCCATGACCCCCCCAACTAGTACCTACCAATCACAAAATTCAGCCAACAAGCCCGCCAACTCCTCCAAATACTTTTTATCCGTCTCATCAAACCCAGCCGGCTCCGCACAATCGATATCAATAATCGCGACAGTCTACCCGCACAACCAAACCGAATAGTTAGCCAAAACAAGCAATACCAGCCAGGGCCCCCTCCGCCGCCCACCCGAATCTATCCATATGATAAATCAACCCCCTGGGAAGAAGGAGAAAAACAATACCTCTCCACCCACAAGAATGGGAACCACAATCTCACTCCGACTACTCGCATCACACGCAATATGCCCCGGAAACTCCAACACGTCCGGCACCACCACCGTCTCGCGCTTCTCGGCCGCGGCGCCGCAGACGCCCTTCCCAAACCGGATTTCCTGGCATGCGGGACGGCCTTGGAAGGGACCGAGGAGGAGTTTCCGCACGGCGGTAGGGTTGGTGTTGTCGGGCTTGGAAGGGAATTTGTCGCTGCGGATGTAGAAGCCGGCCCAGTTGACTGCTGATGATGGGGCGGGGAGGGCGGCGTAGGCGTGCCAGAGGAGGGAGGCGACGTTTGAGAAGTTGCTTCATTGTTGTTTTAGTATTGCTTGTCGGGGTGGGGAAGGGTGGGTTGTTTACCTGACCTGTTGCTCGTGGGGTTGTGGTTAATTTCTAGATTGTGTGTATGTAGGTATGGAGGGAGGGAGGGCTAAGGCTAGGGGAGACATACCCAGTTGCGCTGGCCGTAGACCAGCCCGCGGGCTTGATCTAGAACCTGGGTGTAGACCTCGTCTTTGGAGGCATTGGGGCCGAAGTAGGAGGAGTCGGCGTGAGGCTTTTTGTGGTTTGTGGTTTGTGGTTAGCAGGTGGGTGGGAGAGTCTGGCGGAGGGGGCTGGACGAACCATTGTGCTGCTGGTCGCGGGGGGAAACAGTCAAGAGCACTGATATGCGCTGCAGTTACACGTTCAGGTAGGAGAAAGTCCCCGGGCGATGACGCTGAGGGGAAAAGAAAATCCCAGGTGGGGATGAGGGAGGGGCTAGGCCTAGATGGGGTAAGTCTGTTTTCAATCATAACTTACTATCTTATCGTGATAATCCAACCCTTATCTACAGTTAAGTTTTGTGAGCTGTTCTAGTTGAACTCAGGAGTCTTGGGATACAACTAAGAAGTGTTCTGGAGGTCTTTACTCGATACTCAAGCATGTCATAATTCCTGATACTGATACACATGGCAGCACAATCCTCCCCTGCCACTAGTTAAGAGACGTTGACACAAGTGAGCGAGTTCCGCTGCGACGCTGAGAGTTGTGTGAAGGCTGTAATGGATAACATCGATCGAGTGGGGGTACTGTCCTGCTGGTTGACTTAGTTGTTTCACTCTAGTATATCGAAGAGGCGCATTAGTCAAGTCCTAGCTGGCTCCACGCAAATCATAAAATAAGCCAGAGAAAGAACCACTGAAGAAGATAGAGTAATCTATCATACCAGTGGAAGGCAAGAAGATTTCTCAAGCACCTTAGCTCTGGCCTGAATGGGAAGCCCGAGATACTCTATGTTGAAGAGAAATCTCAGCCCTCTCAAATTGAAAAAGCATTCTTCCCTGCTTTTTCAGCAGGAAAATTGATCTATACCCCTGGGAACCAGCCATAGAGAGTCGTTGACTTCCTGATAATCTTTGCAGACGTATTTGCTTACTGAATTGTTCTCTAGGCAGAGATAGTGTATGTGTTGTCAGTATAATAAATATATAGAACAACGAATCTCCTGCTTATTGAGCGAACCCCCACTGTAACAGGGTATAGATGAAGTGGACTTTTACACGAGTTCCCTAATTTGAGGAACTAAAGTATAGTAACACTGCTTGGCCAAAAAGAAAGCCTAGGTAATCACCACAGTATCTCGAGATTCAAGTTCTTGCAAGACTTTGAGTAGAATCTCAGATGGCAATGTAGTATATTCGTTACTACTTACTGTTCTTGCTGAGCATGAGTGAGCTCTGGACTAATCCCGAATGGGCAAGTCCATCCCGCCGGGCGCCTATATCTTATCACGATAACTAAGTTATTCCACAGTTTACAATACGCCTCGGATCTATAAGGATCTATAAGGAACGATCAGTAAAGATCTAGCATACATGGACTGTACTCGACTTCACTCTTAGGGCAAACCATCAGAACAAGCAGCAGCACAATGTATCTCCCCCTTTTACTAGCTGCAGCAACAGCCTCCGCCCGCGACATCGTCTTCCCGCCCATCGCCGCCATCCACAACCCATCCACTCAATTCACCCTCCAGAACGACGAGATCAACAAGATCGACATCGTCACCGGCAGCCAATTCTCCGGCCTCACCACTTTCGCCAATCTACCCTACGCTAATTGCTTCGTCGAGGATGAGAGCCTGACGTATGATATTGCCTTTCTGGGTGCGCCGTTTGACACGGTTCGTGTTTTTTTTTTTTCTTTCCATGCGAATCACCTCCGACAAAGTCCCTTGAAATTGATGCAGTCAACAGGCCGTGACAGGCCGCCCCGGCGCCCGGTTCGGGCCCAAAGGCATCCGACTCGGCTCCCGCCGCCAGGGCGGGTACGACATCTACACCGGGGAGAACGTGTTTGCCAGCTGGGCCAAGCTGGTGGACTGCGGCGATGCGCCATTGACCTGGTTGGATAATACCGTGGCTTTGAAGCAGTTGGATCTGGCGCATCGGGTGCATTCCCTCAAGCCTTTTTGTTGGCGGCCAGAATATACATACTAACCGCGATGGCATGGGGGTCAGGTTGTCTCTTCCCACAGAACCAATACCACCAGCAAGGGAACAGTCCCGCGCATCATCACGCTGGGTGGGGATCATACCACCACCCTATCCGCCCTGCGATCGACGTACGAGAAGTGGGGGGCTGTGTCGGTTATACATTTTGACAGTCATATTGGTTTGTTGCTTTTCTCGGGTGTGAACAGAAGACCCAATTTGAAGAACAGATGTTGATATGTATACAGATACATGGGACCCTGAAGTCCTAGGTAGCCTCCCCCCCCCATGAATTGTTATACACATCCCCTGGCTAACCTCACACATCCAAGGAGGCGGAATCTCCCACTACGCGTTCGTAACATGCCCTGTCTCCCATCCAAGATACTAATGGAAAAATAGAGGCGTAAACCACGGCACTTTTCTCCACCTCGCTCATGAAGAGGTACACTGCCAGAACCCACAGCCCCGACCCAAAATCTACTGATCCAAAAGCTAGGGTCTCATCCGTAACACCTCCCTCCACGTCGGCATCCGCGCCCCCGTCATCCGCCCCCACGGTCTGGACCTCGGCAACGACCTCCGCTGCGGCTTCGAGATGATCAAAGCGCGCGACCTCGACCGTCTGGGGATCCAGGGCGTCATTGATCGAATCCAGTCCCGCGTCGGGGATAGTAGAGTCTACATTTCCGTGGATATTGATGTGTTGGATCCTGCGTTTGCGCCTGGTATGTCCCTGCCTACCACGCAGCATATAGGCACGGGCTAGCGTGGTGGCCTATCCATACTCAATTCCAACGTCCAGTACGAACTGACCATGGAATGAGTAGCAACCGGAACATCCGAACCAGGAGGCTTCTCCACCCGCGAATTGCTGTCGATTCTCGATGGACTGCGCGGATTGCCGGTCGTCGGGGCGGATGTGGTGGAAGTGGCGCCGATTTATGATACGGCGGGGGAGACGACGACGTTGGCGGCGGCGGAGGTGGCGCGGGCGCTGCTGGGGTTGATGGTTGCAGTGCCGGTTCAGAATGCTTAGCTGGGGTGAGAAGGATATTATTGCACAAGATAGAATCCTGGGGTATAGATCGGATGGATGTGATTGGATTCTGTGAGTATGGATACTCTGCATCGACGGCCATGGCATGGCCTCTTAAAAGCGCAGTACTACGTGCTTCGCGATCATCATACTATCCAATCAGGCGTCTCAAGTAGTTGATTCATATACTAATCAATAATCATGCACCACAATCTTGGGTAAATTGCTAGTGCAAGGCAAGAACGAATAATGGGGGTTTTAGGTTTAGAGAGGGGAGTGGAATGGATTTTTGGTGCTGAATCTGGATTGGAGATGAGCTGGAGGGGAAGGGGGGGAAAGTTGATGGGATGGATGCCTTAGTTGAGCTGAAGTATACTTCAGAACTCCGAGTCGAACATGATGACGGGAGGGGCAGATAGCACGCGGGGTAAGGAGTCAATCAGGTACGGATGGATGCTTCTCACTGCACTGGGAGCAGACAAGCCAACAATATCTGCTATCTGCCGGGTGATCGGCATGTAGTGCAGACTCACCAATAACAGGCGGCTGTGGCTGCATCCTGGTGAACTGGCAATACTACTTATAGATTGTCGGCCACATGATACAGTATACACACTACACAAAATCATCTATGCTGTGCTCACTAGTCAGAAAATGCAAGATGAGAAAAAGCTACTGGACCGAAAATAATCACGATAATATGCTAGTCAGTTAGTCATTACTTTTCTTTCGTCGCTGTGGGCCGACAGCAACCATGCTACCATTATTAATGCAGACAATCCAATGCAGGGGGATGATGCCACAACGCTAATAACTCAAATGCTCTTCAGTCTCCGTCGACACTCCGTCTCCCGCACCGGAACCCGCCCACAGTTCACCCGGTTCTCGTGAACCCGACGCTGCAAGGCGCCCAGCGCCAGGATCTCGGTCGAGTTCGTCGTCTTCATCACCGCCGCCGACGAGCCCCCGCTGGAGTGTGCGTAGGCAGCGCCCGCCCCCGTCGACGAGTAGCCGCACGACTTGATCACGAAGCTCACCAGCCCCGGCAGGTGCGTCATGCGCGACAGCACGTGTTGCCATTCGCCCGAGTTGAGCTGCACCTGACGGAGCTCAATGTGTCGGATGGAATCCTTGCATTGTTCAACCAGCGACAGGAGCTTGTAGGACGAGATGGACACCCGGTGGAGGTGGATCGATTCCAGGCGAAGGGAGCGGCTGAAGGAGGCCCCGTCGAGGTCCAGGGTCTCGGAGCCGGCGATGGAGAGGGACTTCAGGTGGCTGGCGTGCCGGATCATCTTGAAGAGCCAGTGGGCGTGAGCTTGGTTCGGCAAGAGGGCGTATGCGGCCGCGTTCTGGGCCGGACCCGCCGGCTGATGTGATGGCTGTGCATCGCTGGGGGAGGCAGTTATGCGAAGGCCCAGGTGGTCGAGGTGCTGAAGGACATGCTCGATGGAGATGCGCAAGGCACTGGAGCTGATGGTCTTGGCGGGGAAGAAGTGGGCGAAGTCGTGAGTGATGGGGAAGGCGATCTCCAGCTCGGTTAAGTTCGGCAGTGGCGTGTAGCGGAGGCTGCGGATGACGGTATTGACCAACTCACGGGCGGTAGCCTCGGGTGACGAGCCGGGAAACCCCTGAAAGTCGAGCGCCTTGAGTTGGGGCAGTCGGTGCAGGCACGAGGGTAGTACGCCCGCCAGGTCCTCGAGGAACATGGAGCAGAACTCCTCCGAGTGCTCTGTGTCGTCCTCGAGCCCGATGTCCACTTGGCGCACGTAGTCGGCATAGGGCCCGTGGGAGAGCTCTACGAGGCCTACAAGCGGCGATTGGGAGGTCTTGGATTGTGAAGATTTGGCGACAACGCGGAGGTGTCGGAAGAGACGCGGCGAGGCACTGCGACAGAAGGCACGGTTAACCAGCCGCAGCGTCGCCAGCTGGTGTCGAAGCTCGTCGGATGGAATCATGTATTGTCGTGTCGGCACCGCCCAAGGCCGGCTATCGACGTCATCCACCTGGGAGACAATCTATGCAGTGAGGAGCAGTTAGCACCAGACAAGCCCCTTTGTTGTTTCGCCAGGAGCATAGCATCACTCACCAGGTCGTAAATTTCTTGTGGTGCTTGCATGTTGGCAGGTTATGCTTGTTTCTTGGTAGTGCATCGCAGTCACCATAACACCGGGTAATTGGCACTTAAATATCTGGAGAAACACGAAAAACGCATTGAACCCTTCTTATGCGGGGAAACGACGTGTATGAGGTATATTCTGAGTTCTCATTATTCATGCCGAGGCCAGTGACTGTTGGCCTTGCAGCAAAGATGTTTTTGAAGACGTAATGAGAATCCCCAAGAGGCAGCTCGTCGTGACCCCGGCGGTGGGAGCCAATAATCGTCGTGCATGGGGCTATGAGACCATCGAAACCATCGAATTGCTGATCTGACTCATTGGGTCAAGTGACGCGGTGAATTGTGTCTACGGTGACTAGGCCCTGGAAAAGGGGGGCGAAGGAGTAAAAATAAATTCTGACACAAAAAGAGGAAAAACAAGAAAATGGGGTGGGAAGAAGATTCATCCCACCCGTTGTAGAGTAAGTAGAGATGATGTTCTTCCCCTGTTACCCCGGATTTTCCACACTGAAGCTAGTTAGTCTCCCTATCTAATCGCCCTCCCTCTTCCCCTTCTCCTCTGCTGTCATCTTAAATTCGGAATCCCTCCCCGCTGATAAGAACTCGGTATCGGATCCCGACCGGATTCTTCTCTCTCCCCCGCCTTTACCATCACTACTTAAAGGAAACAGCAGTACGGCAGTTCGGGCTAAGATGACACTCAATAAGAACCACATCATCCTCATTGTTCATTCACCGCACACCATCGAACGATCGACGTCAAAATGGGCTCCACTTCCACCCCCAACGTGACCAGCCAGCCCCATATCCCTCCAGCCGGCGTCTGGTGTCCAGCCGTGACCTTTTTCGATCACGCGACCGACACCATTGACTTGGATGCGCAAAAGAAATACTACAAATATCTGTCGACGACTGGTCTAGCCGGTCTCGTCATTCTTGGCACCAACTCCGAAGCTTTCCTCCTAACGCGCGAAGAACGCTACCAATGTATTGCCGCCGCCCGCGAGGCCGTGGGACCTGACTTCCCCTTGATGGCCGGCGTTGGCGCTCACTCGACCAAGCAAGTCCTGGAGCTCGCCTCGGACGCAGCTGCTGCCGGTGCGAACTACCTCCTGGTCCTCCCTCCCGCCTACTTCGGGAAAGCTACCACGATGGCCGTGGTGAAGCGCTTCTTCGCCGATGTCGCCAAACAGTCTCCGCTCCCCGTCGTGGTGTACAACTTCCCCGGTGTCTGCAACGGGGTGGACCTGGACTCCGAAACCATCACCGCGATTGTCCGGGAGTCCGCGGCGCAGAGTGCCTCGGGAGTGTCCAACGTGGTCGGCGTGAAGTTGACGTGCGCATCGGTGGGCAAGATCACCCGGCTGGCGGCCACCTTTTCCAGGGACCAGTTTGCCGTGTTTGGCGGGCAGTCGGACTTTCTGCTCGCGGGCTTGGCCGTTGGCTCGGCGGGCTGCATCGCCGCCTTTGCCAACGTCTTCCCGAAGACCGCCGCGACGGTGTACAAGCTCTATGTGGAGGGTAAGGTCGACGAGGCGTTGGCCTTGCAGCAGAAGGCAGCGTTGGCGGAGTCGCCCTGCAAGAGTGGTATCGCTTCCACCAAGTACGCTACGGCCGTCTTCTCGGCGGTGGCGGCCGGGATCGAAGGCGCGGAGGAGAAGTTGAAGCCTCGCACCCCGTACGACGAGCCGGCCCCAGGAGCCAAGGCTACCGTCAAGGAGGTTATGAGTAAGATGGCCGAAGTGGAGAAGACGTTGTGAGTAGTACGGAGTAGACTGAGAAGGGGTGTACATAGACTACATGCTTGGCAAAAATATATCATGATTTCACTGTTTCTTCCAGTTTGAATAGTAGCACTTTTAGTAGAGTGCATGGCGGTGAGCGTAGCATAAAGGCCAGACTGAGCGAACTCGTTCAAGCTGGCCCAGCCTAGCCCAGTCGGTGGATCAATGGATATATTCCTCTGCATGCATACCCCATACGTGCACCTCGGCCAATTTAAATGAACTGTTGAGGGGCCCAGCAGGTGCAGACAATGGAGGAGATCTCCACTTCAGCCCGATGGGTCTTTTGACTGTTTCTACGCAATATAACCATGGTGCTGAGTTCTACTGTCTAGAAGGACTGACTACAACCATCAACGTCCCTGCTTTGAGAAGGCGATGTACTGCCCTTCGAGCTTCTCGAGGCATGAAGAACACGGAGTACAACTCAGCCTCCCAATCGCGGATCAACATAATCGCATCCATCATACGGTGTCCGGTGTTTCGAAACCCCATGCAATTTCAATGACGAGGTGTAATCTTTTCATTCAATCCAGTTAGCTCTGCTCTCGCTTCTGGCTCGTGATTCAGGTGTGGCTTGGGTGCCAGGGCTCGCTGTTCGCGCGGTTTGCCGGCACTTTAGTCGAGTTTACTTCTCAATCCACGTTGCAGGCGTCTGATACGACTCGAACTGAAGCTGGAAGATGGCTCCAGCAAGAAAAAGCTAGAAAAGGCCCCTTTCCCGAAGGTTATAACGAGGTGGGCTGAGCATCGGACCGGTATTAGCGTGGTTGCCTGGGCTGATTTGCACGCTGCGAAGCGTGTTTCGTGGAGGCAGGGGCTGTAAGTTCCTTCAATCGATGAAGAATAATCAGGTTCTGGGTTGCTGGCATCAATCCGAAGCACTTCAAGATGATAGACAAAAGTCAGTGATCATCAACTTTGGCAGAGGCGACTATCTTCGAGATCTTCAAATCCATCATGGATGGATTGTTGGGATCATTTGCCAAATATAGCCGAGACAGCAGGCGGCGGGTTTCGAATACGGGGAAGTGACGGTAATTTGGTAGATTCCGCCCCGCCTGCGGAGACAAATTACGTACGGTATTGAAGAGATTGCCCCTTTGGGAGACAGAAATCGGCTTGCCGGAAGAGGCGTGGCCCGCGATCATACGACTTGAAACTGACTGTGACTGACGGATTGAACTCTTGTCTGCCACCACCGAACATTGGCCGAGTCTTTCACATCCATGCTTTCCTTCCCATCTTCACCTCTGCTTCTATCGCTGCATAGCCAACTCTCCCAGTCATGCGCTCGCCAATGCCACCGCTCTGTCTTCAACCACCTTGTCTTTGATCTTTCTAGAACCTCGCCTCAGGTTGCCCGAATTACCATCCATCCATCATTCCTGCCAGCGATCGCCGCGCCTCTTTATCAATCAGTAAACACAGGCACCAACTGAGGAGCCGGTCAAATTTTTGTCCCACTGGACCAGACTTTCTCGAACCACTCATCGCGCCTCAACCCGCCGCGCCCACTTCC